ATAATGTGTTACACATCGGTTTGAAAGGTGACAAAGCTAAATATTTCCACATGAAATGAGCTGCGAGATGTTTACAACAACATTTAAGTTAAATAGAGATTAAAAGCAATTTAATATTAATTTATAACGTTAAGTCATTTTAAAGTACATACCCAGCCGTGCACGTGCAGTTCGCGCTCAGGTTGCAGTTGTTCTCCTTGTTCACAATGACCCAGACTTTAAACAGCTCCGTCTTCTCTTGTCTTTGACTTGGTAGCACCGCAGYCTTCAGAGCCACGAAGTTTTCAACGTTGTAATCATGTAATAATATRTCCTGAMCATGTCTGTCAGTGACATAGCTGCAGACATCCTGTAGGATCTCAGGCTCTCCCGGGAATAGAGATTTGGTGTCTCAATCACGCCTTTTTTTCTCATCATTGATCCACTCACCTTCAGGTAAGACGTACGGGTCATTCAGACGTATTCCATAACTACTGTTAATTTAGCCGCATATCTTATTTTATCACTAGGTGATAAATTGTTGTAGTATGCTGAAAACATCGCTAGTTAAAGTTGCAACTGCAGGATTTCCGCGAGCCTCAACTACGGCAACAAGTCGGGCTTTTTCTGAAGTACTGTAGCTGCGCGCGCATYCGTCGGGCGGAACGAAGATTTTACGTTTCTTGTTCTCCCCGTGTAGCTAAAGTAACGTACAKGCGGTCTGCTTAAAAACATCATGGCGTCGAGAAAGAGTTTTTATAACGCTCCAGTTGATTCAAAAAGGTATTTACTGCAGTTCTATTGTTTCTTGGTTGTCATTAAACATCCGATTCATAGCGTTTAAAATATGATGTGGAAAAAAAGAAACGGACCTGCTGTTTTTATTTACTGAAACTTTATTATTATTATTTTTTTTTATTTTTTTTTATTTTTTTATTTTTTTTCAGTTCGAAAAGCGGCCGCAATGCTAGCACTGCCAACAACAGTGGGACTGCCATGAAAACAGTTAAATGTAAGTATCTGCTGATGGACCGTTCGCTCTGCTAATTTTTAAACAGAGCAGACAATGAAATTCTCTCACTGTTTTAGGAAATATCACCCACACTCTCAAAAAGGCCTAATATATTATAAAAATAGTATTGCAGACTGCATTTGTTTGTTATATATTACACAAGGTTTCAACGAAACGTTAAACAGGTTTCCATTATTATTTTGTGATAGATAGATAAGAAAGAAAGAAACCATTTCCTGGTTAGGTTGGTAGCTATCATTTGTACTGTAACTTGTTTACCTTTCAGTAAATCATGTCTCTGATCATCCACAGATGATCCATTAGAGCTTCTGGTTTGATTTTGTGTTTATCTACAAGTTATTCTAAAAATATTGCCAAATTTTATTTTATGTTAAACAAGTTTCTCGCCTTATCCTCATGTTATAGTAACAAACTTTGACTCGATAGTTGGGCTTTTTATAGTTCATACAGGGTTTTGTAGTATAAAATCATTCATGTTTTAATCTGCCTTAGGACTTGAGGATTAAATGCAAAATATTAGCTTTATTTACTGAYCCTTGCATATTTAATTTATTTTGTTTATTTCTTCATTTGATATACCTTTGTACTGGTTTAAGCTGAAGCTAATATATATCAAATTGTTTGCAGATTAAAAGTTTAGCTAAAATGTGACTTAATCAGTCTGAATTGCTTTATGCAACAAAAGGGACAAGGGGGTCCAAGGTTTACCCTGCACCTAATTAACATTTTTCTGCCTCAGCCCAAGGAGACATACTGTTCTCTGGTTGYCCGTCTGTGTGTGAGTGTCCGGCACACACYCTTGTGTGCACTGTATGTCCTGAACGAAGCTACTGGTTTCAGTCAAAATTTACATGATAAATGTTCTTGGCCCACTGGAGGTCTGAAAACTTTGCTGCTTGAATCCCCTTATTTTGGATGGTACACATAAGTGGTTGGTCACTGAAAATAATGACATTGTGAGTATCAAAGAGGAAGAGTCATGTTTAGGCATTGTTGATAAGTCCAAGAATAGAGGTAAAATGCAGACGAGTCTAGGGCAGATGGAGGCAAAGCAGCCGATGGTATCGAGTTCTACCYTGGAGACACTGCATGGCTGTAAGGTATTTACATACTGGATATTTTTATAGTCTGAACTTTTTATTATTTACATTTATAAAGTCAGCTTGCACAAATGTTGCCTTTTTTTTGTATAATTACAAGACTTACAATTTTTTTTAAAGGGAATATTCTAGTGTGATTAGACTCAAATTTTCTTTGTGGCTTTTGATTGTGGCAGAGTTTGATATTCTTTTATAGCTGATGTGTCTGTTGTATTTCTGTATTCTTTCATTCATTTTACTTACCGGTACTTYAGAACATTTCTGCATTTCTTTGTTTTATTCTTTCATTTGCCTCATTTGTGAAGCACATCTGTTGTTTTCATGTGCTATGTAAATAAATTTGCATTGATGTATTTAAGGACTTTAAGGACAACAAAGTTTACTTAATACATGTTTTGTATCAATTTCTAGCCAGTGGGATGACTGTCAAATCACGGTATCTTCAGTCAGCTGAGAAAGCATCACTCTCAAAGGTAATTTGTTTTCTCATGTGAAAAACAAATGGATCAAGTTATTTTATATACTGCCTGGCCAAAAAAGTCACCACCTGGATTTAACTAAGTGCTATGATGTGGGGTTGCAGCAGTTGGTCAGGTCTAGGTTCAGCACCAGTTTGTGCTCAAAGAATGAGGCTAGCTGACTACCTGAATGAGCARGTTATTCCATCAATGGAYTTTTTCTCCCCTGATGGTATGGGCATATTCCAAGATGACAATGACTCGATGGGTAAGAGTTGTGAAAGAGTGGTTCAGGGAGCATGAGACATCATTTTCACACTTTAATTGGCTCCACGRAGTCTATTGAGAATATTTGGGATGTGCTGGAGAAGGCTTTGCACAGCTGTCAGACTCCACCACCATCAATGCAAGATCTTGGGTAAAAATTAATGCAACACTGGATGGAAATAAATCTTGACATTACAGAAGCTTATTGAAACAATGCTACAGCAAATGCATGCCATAATCAAAGCTAAAGGCAGTCCAATGAAATATTAGAGTGTGACTTTTTAATTTTTTTTTGGCCAGGCAGTGTATGTCAGTTAGCGCCGGCCTAGGTTGCCAAATTTTCAAAACAGCCTATTAAAATCCCTCCCCTGTGATTTCAGTTTCTCTGCCTCCAATAGTCTTTTTATTCAGCTGCATCCCTTCTACGTTTTCAGAGTAATTCACTGACAGATTCAGTTGCTGGACCTCAGCGGCCTTCCCCTAAAGCAGTTTTGGTTAAACCAAAGGTGGGCACCCCACCGCGACGCTCACTGGCGCCGCAGGCTCTTGCAGAATGTGAGTACTTTTATACGTTGAGTGTGTTTCTTGTTTTGTCATGTTAGATGGAATGAAATTAGATCGGTAACTGTAGTGCACCCTGCCGGAAACAGTGTTGACTCTTTTGTAATAGACGGCAAATGCAATTAAGTGACATCAGCAGTGCTATGGTCTTTAATGATTTGTTTCCTCTGCTTTAACATGAACATAACATATCAGTGTTTATGCTATCTTSCTTAAAGCAATGATGTCACATGTAAAGGATCCATCAGTTCTTGGTCGAAGTGTTCTGCAGTCCACATTTTCTGACGGATGCTGCGTTCGACCAGATTTTGATATTTCAGACATTAAAGGTAAACTGAGCAAAACCCATAAAAATAATGTTGTTTTGTAACTGTTTTTTGTCTAAACTTTTTGTTTTTAATCTGTGTTTCGAAGACAAGACGGTGATTGAGATCGCAGCGGAGCCTGACAGGAACCCAGAGAACGAGAAGGAGATTGTGGAGATGCAAACATTTCTCCTAGCCTACCTCACAGCGAAGGTTTGATGGAACAAGCAGCTCTAATGAATGGCTTTTAACGTGTCTGCTTCAGTGCTAGATTTCAGTAACACTATGACTTAAAATAGTAATAAATTTGACCAAATGTATCTGAGTGAAATCATTCTGACACATTTGCATCCCTTCAGTAATACGGCTGTGTCTCTTATTTGTTTTAGATGGAGAGCAATACGGCAAAATTCAAGGCTGAGGCAGAAGAAAGAATCCTTCAAGTGATGAGAGAAGAAGAGCTGCTGCGTAATGAGGTCAAGGAAAAGAAGCAACAGTATCTTCTAGCTGAGCGGAAGAAGCTGCTAAACGAGACGTTGGACATGCAGGTCAGGGCACCTCCTCTGTGGTTAGCTGCTGAATTGTAATTTTGCAAACTTTCATTGGAAAGAAATCAGTACAGTTCAAATGTCTGAAATATTAACTATTCTTATCATTCAAGTCTAAATGACAGTTTATTTGTTATGTGGGGAAGAACGTGGGGTCACTCTCAAAAAGGGTTATTTGAGTTGCATGCAAGTAAAGGCTCATTATCAGCATATACTACATGTGTATACAGTCAGGTCCATAAAGATTGGATGAATTTGAAATGACATGAACTATATGTGCTCGAACTGCCAACTTTCAGCATTAATTTGAAGGTACTTGCATCCAAACCAGRTGAAGTGTATGAATTACAACAGTTTGTATTTGTGCCTTCCACTATTTAAGGGACAACAGTAATGGGACAAATTATTAATCATATATCAAGCTTTTCACTTTTTGCCCTGAAGTCTGGAACACAAAGACATCAGCAGACCCTGGGTTTCATCCCTGGTGGTGCTCAGTCTTCAGGTCCAGCTTGTTTTTTTGGGGGGATTTTTTTCCTTCAGCTCTTTGGATGCTTTGATTGACGGTATGTTTAGAATCATTGGGCCTCATGCAAGAACATGTTCGTATTCTTATACTAAATTTCTCTTACTTTTGTTCGTACAAACTAGGGTTCGTACGAACATGTCACGTCAGATTCAACAAACTCTTCTATCTTCAGGAAAAGTGTGTAAATGAGCTGCGTAAATTCCACCTGTTCGTATCCAGCTGCTCGTGCACGCGAGAGGAGATTAGCATAACTACCACCCCAAAAACACCATATAAGGCTACGTTTCCTGCCTCGGATACCAGGAAGTGTTCATTCATGAAAATGACAGCGAAAACTAAAAAAAAGAACTTTACGAGTTCAGAGATTGAAGTCCGTCTGTCAGAGATCCAGAAAAGAAAATCTGTCATTTTTAGCAGGTCAGCTGTGGAATAAAAAGAGCTGCTAAAAATATAAACAACTGTGTTAAATCATTTTCATTTATTCAGAAGACACAGCGCTGCACCCACTCCCACTTATTGACTACAGTGAACCCCTACTTGATATTTTTTTTAATTTAATTTAAAAACAAAACAAATGCCATACATACAACAAACAATAAAAAAAACACAGATAAAATGAAAGGTAGCAGAAAGAAGAAAAAAATTCTTATTGATATCTGCCCCTTTTATTTAAATAAATAAATTTAAACAATAATAGTCTTCAAATAACAAAACATAACAAAAACTTCAACTCCTTCTCGAACAACGGTTCTCATAAATGCACACTATACAAATTCATATCTCCAACAATCTAATATATTATATTTATGGACTTGACTGTATGATATCACTTTAAAATGATAAAATGAAAGACCCTATCTTACACGGAGACAGAAGTTAAGTATATTCAGCTTAAAGTCTTAAGTTGCACTCAGTTATTACTWTGGTGCAAAATTAGGCACCGAAATGAAGTAACTGTCATTAAAAGCATTTACTAATAAAAGCAGGGAGATTAACTGAACTGAAGCAACCCTCTTCTCACTCCTGAATTCTAATTTTCTGCATGACAGTAAAGGAATAAAGTGAAGAAATCTTTTATTTTTCAAATGCTAAGGCAGTTTTATTGCAAAGCAGATTTATTTCTATTCATCACAAAGCCTGTTACATTATAACCGTTTACACAATTTAACTTGTGAAAATATTATGCACACGCACTCATAAAGGTTATACATGTTTTCAAATCAATAGCATTACAGTATTTATACAGTGGATATTTTTATTACATTTTTAATGTAGGCCTCTTTAGTGTTGGACAATTTTTACAAGTTAGCATATGTCTAAAATGTTATAGTGTGACAGAGCTTTAAAATAAGATGCACAACATAACACATTTTAATACTTTTAAAACTGTATGTTAAATGTATACGTTATACATATGACAGCTTGCATACATTAAATACATCCCACTAATATTAGTTTTGTTTGTTTTTCATCAGATTGAGACTCTGACTCCTGTAGCAGAAGCAGCCAAGCAGTTCACAAAGGACTACAATTGTTTTGCAGCTGCTGTCGACACAACTCGTCACGAACTGCCTGTTAAGAATTTCTACATCAGCGGGGATGGAAAGGAATTTTTAGGTACTTCTGCTTCTTTGTTTTGTGTTTGAACTGTCCTCGACAAGACAAATCACCAAAACAAAGTTTCTATAAAGTTTCACACTTAATATATGTCACTTTATCTGACCCAGTTCTTTTCAGTTCAAAGCACAACTACACTTTATTACAAAATAAATAGTATTTCTACCCTTTTTAAATAGCCTGATGAAATAGTTCTGTGTAACTGTCAATAATGAGTAGTTAACAGAAACGGTTTTGACCATCTTTTTCCCTGGTTAGGTAAAGCTGAGGCTTGCCTGAAGGAAACGGAGAAGTTGCTGCAGGAGTGCACACAGGGAGACCATGCAGAGAACAGCACRTCTTTGGAATGCCTCAGAAACATGAAGATGACTTCTAAAGAGCTCAGTCAGCAGCTGTCAGGGTAGGTAGATGTGAAGACATTTTTTTATTATGATGTTACAGTATGGTGTGGCTGCTTTCTGTTACCTTTTTATAATGAATTATTTTATCTTTGGGATTTTTATTTTGTGTACGTTGCACTTGTACATAAATGTGTTTTATGTGGTTTTTGTTCTAGAACATTTTCTGAGCTGCAGGAGCTGTCGTCACTGGTCTGCCGACATTCAGTCCATGTTCAGCAGGTCGTGGAAGAAGAGCAGCTCGGTGTTTCACGAACCCGTGAGCTCTTTTGTCCTAAGAGCGATTAAGACCACAGTATGGGCTACACTGTGCACTTTGGATGACCCCATTCCTGTTAATTAAACTAACTTCTTTTTTGATTGCTTTTTTGTCCTTTTTTGTGTGTCCTATTTGAATTTGTTGTAGCTGTGTTATGTTGTGCATTTTTTAGTTTTTTTTTAAAAGTACTTAATAAAGCTGAAAAAAAAATTGTTGGTTGTTTGTTGCCAATCCAGTCCGAATAAATGTTCATTTTTGGATTTTATTCTCTAGAACATTTGCAAAAAGTGCGTTTAACTTATGGATTATTGCTAGATGGCTCAGTTGGTAGAGCTATTGCTTCTCAGCATGAAGGTTGCTGGATTGAACCCCGTGGCAGACAAGTGATTAGTTAACGTTTATAAGGTAATCCTGTACTGTATGTTGTTCATGTCAAATGTTTTGTGCATGTTTCTAAAAGCATCCAAGTCTAGAGCATGAAATTAGGAAGGCACAAATCAACAGAAAATGTAGTTGCTGTATTTTTGCCGTATTTTTTGATATAGAGGGCATATGACGATGTGGGTTGAAGGGTTATTAATTAAGGAAAATGGTCATTAATGGTGAAATGTTTAAATGGATTAAAAACGTTTTATAAGATAAAACAATACAAGTTAAAATTGGTGAAGAATTGTCACAGAAATAATTGGTAGAAAATGGAACTCAAAGGAGCACTAGACATGGGTTTTTACGATGTAAAAACAAGTGTGCATTGCCATGAAGCATGTCATTGCAGCATGGCTTTGCCTGCAGCAGTGGACTTGCAGAAGGAAGTGTGACCAAGTTCAAATGTGTTTTCTAATGATCAGTCAAACACCTGCCAAGTCAGCAGGTGTTTGTAATTAGGGTAATTGTGTGACAATACAGTATAACAACCTGAAATTATGTAGTTTTACTGAAACAGTTTGTTCATAGCTGGGATTGAACCCTGATCTGAATGAAATCCCACAGTGTTCACCATCACACTATAGGAGCTGTGGCAGAGGACAATCCCAGGGCTTGGATTGTATGTATGCAGAATGAGTTTACCTTGCTAACACAATTATTGACACTAAACTGCATAATATTACAAAAATAGAGCATTATTAAGACAATATTATAATAAAACATCAAAATACAATCATATTAGTACTGTAAACACTGAACTACTGAGTTGAAATATTAAACTATGGTGCAGTACCATATTGTGTAGATGCAGCAGGGGGCAGTATTGGATCAATAAAAGGCCCCATTTACTGCTATTATAATTCATTAAACATTAATATTTCATAAACTATAAGTTTTACAGGCACCATAAGGTATAGCCATCATTTGGCACAGAGGCTTTACAGATATAAATTACAATGGCAGCTCTAGGACAAAGTATGCAGGAGGAGAAGCATGGCAAAGCTGAGATGACTTGGATGTGAAACGAATCACAATGTGCATTGCATTGGCAATGCACACTGATTATAAGTCCATTTTTGTTTTCAGTTATGATAAATAATATATTCAAAGATACTGGAAAATAGGATGTTCACTTTTTGCAGATGATGGAGCAATATGGAAAAGAGGCAGGAAAATACAAGAAGTCATTGTTAATATAGAGAAATGGGCATTACAATGGGAATTCAAGTTCTCAGTTGCTAAAATTTATAATATTTACACAGAAAAAATTAGGAAATCAAATTAAAGCTATATAATCAGGAATTAGAACAAGTAAAATATTAAATATTTAGGTTTTGATGAGAAAATTACATGGAAGGTACATATACAAAAAATTATAGATGTAAGAAAATGTTAAATATTATGAGATATTTGGCTGGTAGTGACTGGGGAGCAGATAGGGGATCATTAAAACAAATCTACACAGGACTGATAAGATCAAATATGGATTATGGAAGTATAATTTATGGATCAGCAGCTAAAACACATTTGGCAAACCATACAACATCAAGCATTAAGATTGTGAACAGGAGCATTCAAAATAACAGCAGCACTGGAGGTAGAAATGGGAGAAATACCTTCAGATTTGAGAAGAAAACAATTAGCATCAAACTACTGGATAAATTTATAAGGAAACAACCCAGATCACCCTGTACTTTGCATTTTAAACCCATGCTGGGAAAAGGAGTAAAAAAAAGGAAATAAGTTTTGGTTGCAAAATTAAAAAGACAATAGAAGATATTCAGATAAATAATTTATAAATTAGCTCAATAATAACATTGTCTGTTATACCACCTTGGACTTTACCACAAGCCACAGTAGATATGACACTTTCAAAAAATAAAAAGGATAAATCATTTAATATGAAATCACAAACAGTTCAGTTAAATGTAAACAATTATTACCAATACATTCAGATTTATACAGATGCATCAAAAATATCAGAAAAATAGTTATAGCATCTATAGTACCAGAATTTCATATACAAATTAAAAAACGAATCACCAATGGATTGTAGTACTGGAGAAATGTTAGCTGTTCTATTAGCAATACAGTGGGTGGAGGACATTAAACAATCATTTGCTCAGATTCAAGTTCCACTTTAAGTTTGAAACACAATCATTCAGACAGCAGACCAGACATTTTATTAACAATTTTTACATACCTTATACAGAATTCAAAGCATGGGTTTAAGTGTAGTTTTTGTATGGAAACCAGCACTTATTGGAGTGGAGGGAAATGAGACAGCAGATAAACTGGCAAAGAAGGCAACTCAAAATCTCATTAATTTTATGGTTTGAACAAGTAAATTAGAAGCAAAGAGTATTAAACAAAAAATCAAGAAAGAATGGCAAAAAAAGGTGGGATGAAGAAAGAAAGGGAAGATGGTTTCATAGAATCAAAAAGACGGTAGATGAAATGAAAAGGGGGAGAAGAAGCAGGAAAGAGGAAGGATTAATAACAAGATTAAGATTTGGACACACAGGACTCAACCATTCTCTTTTTAAAACAAAAAAGCATGATATGGGGAAATGTAACCACTGTGGAAATGATGAAACAATAGAACATGTTGTAGAATGTTATGAATATAAAGAAGAGAGAAAATATATGAGGAAAGAGTTTGAAAGGAAAAAAAAAAGCATAATAGATGCTTTACAAAAGCATTTACGGAGCAAATCAATAAAAAAAACTGATTAACAAAGTTTAAATACTGTATATAGTC